GGTTACTTTTTGATAACAACAACAAGGTGATGTATTGCCGGCCTTGTCGAGGATCGTGCAGCAGAATTGATCCTTGTAGAAGCTAAGGCTGACGCCAATGATTGTGAACACGATGCAAAATGCATGTCAGATTCAGAGTCGGCCAGTGATCATGACAGTGTTTTTTCTGAAAATTTTGATGAGTTTAGTGACGATGAAAGAAATGATGATGACCTCTTTGAGGCTGCAGATAATATATCTGATTAATTAGTAAATAAAGGTTTTGCAATTGCAAGCTTGTATTATCCGTTTAGTCTTTGTTAAATATCAGGGCCTACAGTTAGCTAGAAGGACCTACAGTTTCAATTTGACATAGGTCCTTTGGGCCTTTTATGATTTTCAGTTAATTTCGAACACTGATTCTTAGAAGGAAAGGATGTATATTATATAATAATGTTATTATGAGGATACCTCAAAGTGTGCACTCAGACAGTACACCACGCATCAACCTCCGCTGCGCATTGGTTGATACTCCTGTTGTACTGTCTTCGTGCATACATTGAGGTATCCTCTTAATAACCTTATATTATTGTGATACTCTGCTCTCTAGTATACAAGTAATGGCCATGTTCGTCAACCATCGGCTCACCTAAGTTTGTTCATTTAATTGTCTAAGATGTAACAAGTGAAATGCACCATGGGAATACAACCGCATTGTTCTTGTGCTATAGACATATAGGTATGAATTTAAAAGAGATAAATTGACGACATCTTACTTGGTGGATCTTGGAACAACCATATCTGTCAGCGTTTCATATTTACTTCTCCAGTCTGGGAACATTGCTCTGTAATGCAAATACATTGTATAAAATTAAAACATTAGTACCCATCTTATAACTACATACAATTCTTTTCACCACGTGAAGCCAAACAAAATTATGAGATTTGATGAAACCTTTTTACTACAGGAACAAATGGTAAATGGCTCATGGGTGTTTGACGCATTTTTGTGTGAAAAGTAGTTTGGTCACCATCCTTTTTATGTTGACTTTGTGAGAAACAGCATAAAAAAGCCATATGGTGAAAGTCAAAGAAATCTGGCATTAAGTTATGTACCTTTAATTAAATTGTGCTTTGATATTTCATGAAAACTTAATTTAATAATGAAAAAAAAACTTTAAAAAGTGTTTGATGAATAGAAATTTGAATTTATTTTATATTTTTTTTTTATATTTTATCATGACATCTAGACTGTTTATACAAGTACATACAACTTCAGAATACAGAAAATTATGCCATGTGATATATGCTGACAAGCAGCCTCTCGGCTGAGATAGCTCCGCTGTTAGCAATGCACATTTTAATTAAAGAATTGAAGAAATCATCACGAAATAAAAAAATCTGAGAGTGGTCTACCCAAGGTATCAAAGTATCAAAGCCTTCAGGCTTGTAGTTTTCAAGAAGAAGTCAAAAAAATAAAAAGTTGACATGGAAGACAACAGACAATCATATGATAAGCTCCGCTCAACAAATATGACAGCAGAGCTAAAAATGATGTTTATATGCTAATTAGGCTACTATGATGTCATAATGCATAAATTACAAGATGGTGTTTATATGCAAATGTCATAACACATATATTATAAACCAAACATTCTACAGTGGAACAACACGACAAAGATGTATCATCAGTTCTTTTTTTGAAATGAACATTCATAAAGCCACAAAATATTTCTGAATGTCACTTACTTTTGAACAACGACCAGAAGAGTAGTCAGGTATTCCGATTGCAACACAAAGTCTTCTTTCCTCACTAGGTCAGCAACATTCCGTGTTATCAAACTACCACTGAAATAGTTATTATTATTTTTTTTGTTACTCTCTATAATATACTGTAAAAGACTGTTTTTAATTTTTGCTGAGTTTTATTTCCTGATTATTTTCACTGATACACTAGCTAAACCAAAGTTTGATTGAAATCAAAAACTTCATTTGTTTTTTTGTTTTTTTAAATTTCTATTTTATTTGCTTTTTCCATATCAGGCACCGAGTGATTAATTTTTTTTTTAATTTGGAGTCTTTACCAGTGACATGACCGGGAATTCATTGTACTGGTTCTGACTAAACCAATAATACACTGTATGTATATGCAAGTGTAATCACAAGAAAATGACAGTTATTTTTCGCTGCGAGACATAGCTGGGTAAGCTATTGTTAATGCATTAAATTAAAACCTAGTCAATAAGTTAAAAATAAAATGCGCCGTTTCCTTCACAAATCAAATCAAGTGTATGTCAAATCTGATAAAATCAAACCCAGTGAATATTTCTCCCGCTGGATAAAAGCAAAACATGCTTACTGCCATGTCTATAAGATATGAAACAACAATCAAATTATTTGTTTTAATTCTGAAAGTAACATTCAATTCCAAGGATCCGTCTGGCAACATGCACGGCTCGATTTTTGCACGTATTTTAGAAGTTGTTGTCTGATGAAAAATATTCATTAAAGTCTAAAATGATTCTGTTCTAATAGCTGAAAAAAATTCCTGTGAATACATAATTTTGATTACAATTTTTCTTTTTGAATTGTTTTCGTTTTGATAAGTTTGGACTAAACACATTTTCTATTTGCTTCAGATTTTGATCAAAAGTTTGGCACCCAATTTATAGGAGTGCTTATATCTATTATCTGACACCTTAAGATTATATTGGTAGGTTTGCAACAACTCTCTCCATGAGTTGGCATTGAAACCCAGTCTAGTACTAGTAATTAATGGACAAAATACCTTACTGGTATTCATTTATACTCACGTAGATTTTCTTTCCAATGAGTGTAGATTTCCCTTCAAGCTATTGTAAGCAGCTGATTTTGCTTTCAAATCACTATCAATCTGTGACACTTGCTGTGAAAATATAAATAATAATGTGATTTGAGCATTGAATAAACTGAGATAGTTCATACATGTAGATGAGAGACAGGCCATGTCTGTAAAGAATAACAGTGTAGAAACATAATTTAATGGCTAACGATGTATCAACGTACTGTCAGGGGTTTTTTTAAACAAGGGAACAGCGCCCTCATGCCATGGTCATGCGCCCCATTACCCTGGAAAGCAGATCCTCAGAAAACCATAAAATTCTGATTGACCAGGAATCACATGTGGCCACAGTCTTCAACTGTGACCTGTCTGATAGTAATTTTGACCCCAAGGAAGCCATAGAATGCTCCATTTTAACTTAGAACTATCAAAGACTCCACGCCCTGGTAGGGAGAAGCCTATTTCCCCCACTTGATGGCGCCGCTGAATTGCAGTGCTCCCTCTTGCAGTTTTTTTTTAGAAAAACCCCTGGTACTGTAATAACGTACAATAGTTGAGAAAATAGAGAAGGCAGGATCACCATCAATTTCCCACCACAAAATTTGTCAATCCTTTATCAAAATATGAACAAGTCTACAGCCACAGATACAATTGAACACTTACCTTACTGATGATTTCAGCAATACTTCTAAGTGGTTGTTTAATCGGATATTTAGCCACGTCCCATTGAAATCGTGTCAGGTATGTTGTCAAGTCCACTATGTGTCAAAGACATACATCTCTAGATTAGCAGTCATAATGATGTAGGTCAAAACAAACTGCTACAATTGTATTAGTTATGGCATAAATATGTTGTGTTGGTGTTAACTTATTGCAAGTTGAACCGTTTTGATTGCACTTGAAACAATTTTAAGCAAAAGTTAACATAATGTTTTCCCAGTAATGACTATATTTAATAGAATTGTGTAAAAACGAAAAACATCAATGTGTCATAACTGCATACACGAGTTGGATGTGACTTCTGCCAGGTAAACAAACATTTGGGTTGTGGACATTTTGACCATGGTAAATTTGGGAGCTGCATTTTATTTATTGAGGGTGATAAATTTACATTCAACTACTATGGGTTATGATATAGACATACCGGTACTCAATGTGAAATGCTACGTAAGCCATATAAATATACTGGCTGGCCAAACTGTTTGGGCCAAAACGTCTTTCTGCATAATTTCTGTAGTTTATATTTAGTTAAACTGAAAACCATTTTTCATTAAGTAAATTTTCAGACTGGTCAATACTGATGTAATCTATGTGTTGTATTTGCTTTATAAGCAGTTCATTAAGGGACATAAGTGAGCCAAACGAAACAAAATGGAGTGAAAATACATGTAGGGTGTTTTGTCTGTTTGGAATTTTACCAATGTTTCATATGAGAAGGATATATCCTAATATCTCAAAATTATTGTTGTTGACATACAGTGAACAAATTATATATAATATCTTAGTATGTACTTGATCATTTTTAGTAGACGATGTTATTTTAGTGGGATTTTGATGTGTTTTTGCATTGTGGTCTACAGAAACCACGGGTAAATTATTTGACAGTTTTACTGTTGACTAATTAATACTATGATTAATTATTGACAGATTTTGACTCAATACATTATCACTGCTATATGTGCTAAAATATGTGCACATGTGAAAAAACATGAGTGCCATTTTACTTCAACTAACATCAATGAAACACAATACTTACTGGATGCTATGACAGGGTTGAAATCAAAATAATAAATATTGCCATTAATCAAAATAAATATATACACAGCAGAATCTTGTTTATTTAAAAAACCTAATCATTGGCATGGTAACTAGCAGTATATGAGACTAGCTGTATAATCAGTTGCAGTTTCTAACAGTGCAATTACATTCTAGTGTTTTCTCCAGAAAGCAAAGTCCAAGCAATGCACATGAGAGGTATTTCGTTTTAAAGTTATTAATTTGTTTGTTTTCGCAAACAACAATCAAGCATAGTGGTCACAATGCTTCAGGCTCTAAGATGAACTCTGACCTCAATAAAATGACCTTTCAACCACATTCCACAATAAAATAAAACAAATGAAACATGCTATATACTAGAATCGCTACTGGTTGTACAAATACACAGAAAGCGTGTCAGCACAGCATAGCAAACCATGAAAATACCTGGCATTTCTTACCTCCGTTAGCCAGTAAGTTCTCAGCGAGTTTGTCTCTTTGATCTTCCAGGACATCACCCAGATAATTAGCAACTTTTCTTGCAACACTGTAACAGACAATCAATAAATGTCAATTCAATTCTAAATTTACGATTGTATTATGTATGCAGTAATTATCTTATAAACTTCAAAGCAACACAACACATGTGTTACTGTATTTTTTTTTTAAGAGTCAAAACAACTTCGAAATGGTTTAAATTTAAAACAGTAGGAATGTTTAGTAAAATTACATAACTTAATACATAAATTAAAATCTTCTACACATCCCACAAAAATCATATCAACATTTAGTAGTCACAGGTGATTATAAAGTAGATTTACAAAATTTAAACGTAATATTTTATTTTTATTTCAACATAACTGAAGAATTACCGTTACTTGATTCAGATTCACATAAAATGAAAGATCATTCAATATACTAATCTGTATACCAAATTAAGTCTTTTGTTTCAGTTAATTGAATGTACTTCACACATATGCCAATCTTTCATACAAAACAATATGGTTTCTAATATTAGATACGGTAGTCATTAACTATTAGTAGAATGCTGGTATGGGGGACATGCTGCTATCATTATACTATAGAATGCAGACAAGGTGCAATATTGTAAAATAACTGGGTCAGTTTATGTAGTAGTAAGTACAAAGTACATGTATGTAAATTAAGTTATTCTACTATATAGTGATCTGTAAAGTTAGAATAAGATTGTTTATTATTGGGAATCATAATAAGTACAGCAATAGCAATAGCAATATAGTAATAGAAATTAGCATTTAATTAATCCATATGAAACATAAATTTACGCCATCATCAGTATACTGTATGGTATATCAGTTAAATATCATAATCATATTTAGTATTCATATGTTTGCAAATAACCATTACAACTCATCTGATGCTCAACTATTATTTTTGAAAGACTAAGTATGTGACTAACAGTATTTGTTCTATTAGAGGTACATCTCTAAAAAAGGTGCTTGTAAACCCAAAATTGTATTTATTTTAAATGTGGCCTCTGTCATATATGTAAGCGTTAGCATTACTAATACAGCAAATATGGTAATTGATATAGTGAATCATGTGTGTAGTAGAAAATATATGGGTATTAAAGATGTTATCTTTCAGAATTTGTGGAGTATTAAAGCAATCAGATATCTTAATATCAGTTAAATTCTTAACGTAAACATATTAACACATAAAACCATAAAAACTACCAAAAAACATGTAACTCACACTTCAACAAAAGCATCCAGCTTTCCCAGATCATCTGACAGTCCAACCAGCGTGTCCAGCGTACCCACTTTTAAATCCGGTATATTGAACTTGTGATTGATTGACAGTGACTGCTGTTTAGCTGTGGCATTGTTCATTCGCTCCCAGGTTTGCTGACAAGTCTTCTCACCTGGGGCTGATATCAACCAGAATTCGGCCATATTTGATGTCTATATAGTTACAGCTTCACCTGAGTTGTAAAATAAAGTGACATATTTAATATATTGACACAAATAAGTTTAAAATAGGGCTGCATAATTTCATTTAAGAATCTGAGGCTGATTCTAACACTGTAGACACTGGGAGTCAACAAACCCATGTTTACAAATAATATTTATAAATCCAACTTGTTATATGAAATGAGATAATTGGAATGGCTAGATAGGCAGCTCTCTCTGATCTGTGGAATATTTGCACATCAATCAGACAGCCAATTTGTGATTGGTCGACATTTTTCTGAGAAACCTGCTTCTCAACTAACATGTCTTTATTTAGTTTTAAGCCATATTCAATATGGCTGCCCCCATGTAGGAAATATCGGTAAATTAATAGTATTTATATTATTATCACTTGTGCGCCAGCTGACTGTTGCAAAACACTCGTACATTGTATGTTGTGGTGTACGAGTATATTACAATAAGTGAAAGTTTTTTCTGTAGGTTTGACATGTGGCTTTTTCAGCACAAGCTAAATTTAATTTTTAATTTCATGAGAGGTATCAAATCCCCAATTTCAGTGATATATTCACTAATTTCATTTTTTTTTTAATAATCAGAATTTATTATAACCCAAATATGTTCAGATATACAGTTTTAATATGGGTCACCTTATCTATTATGTGACATTTTACGACAGTCGGTGACTAACAGTTTATTGCCGGTAAGAGGGTCATAGGGGTAGTCGATATATGTGTAGACAGCGTCCACGATAAGCGATGAACGGCCCGGTCAATGATAAATCGTCTAGATTTTCAGGATCGCTGTCCTGCATTGTTCTCATTGTTTGCGATATTAAATCAAATCATTGTATTTGTATCAGTATTCCGGCAAATCAACTATGACGAGCATTTAACAGCGATATACTAATTATAAAATAATCAAAAATAACAACAAACCTACCGTCACTTTTTTTGGATGCAGTCCGTGTACTCCGTATTGGTTGACGTCGGATGACAAGTCCGAGGACGTTATTAGTAATTAGTAAATAGTAAACAGCCAAAATCGACAATGTTTTCGATGTCTGGTTTTTCAATGAAATCTAACAATGTCAATCGGCGACCTTAAACCAACACAGTCATTTAAATTTACATATAAAATCACAATTTTCGTTCACGATAAGACCCTTGTATCACGAACATTCACATGACCAGGAAGAACAAATTGAATGACGGGATTCACCTATGACCTCGAACAAAACTTAACGTAGATGGCGCACTATCACGCGCTACATCTCTGTGGATTCAGGGCTCATACCACTAATTGAATTTCCATAGACGACAATGTTAACATATGACGAGATTGCTACATGAAAATGACAAAGAAAGTTGAAAATATGGCTCAAAAATGGGAAATCAACATGCCAGTAATCAACCATATGGAAAAAACTAACATGTTGGCCAGCTCAAACTCTTGCAAATCTCAGGTAAACAAGACACATCTACTGTATTTGGATTGCATCAAGAGAAATCACTGGAAAAACACCAAGATTAGAACATCCAAATACACACAGAATAAACCCACAGGTACACAGCCGCTAAGTAGTAAACAAAGACCACATGTTGGTCTCACCACTGACCCAGGTGATTACGCCCTCAAACAGGGAGCACCTGAGAGAAAAAAAAATATTTAAAAAAATTCATTGGTTCTTGCTAGGCATTTAAATTGATTGATTGATTAGTGGCATGAGACCTTAAATTATTGCACTCTCTGCCCCGAGGATGCTCATGCGTCAGCACTCGTGTACACATGTCATATGACTCGTGACTCGGAAATTACATAAATTGTAATAGTAGAGCTAGTAATTGAAGCAAATCTACGTAACTTGCATTGAGTACTTAATGACTTAATGAAGATGCAAAATCGAAAAAACACTGACAGTATGATGGGAACTCACACCCTGGACGTTACTTCTAGGGATGTGTAGGGAATGTTTATTTAGGTCTGTCCAACCGTCTAAAGACAACTAAACTAATAATGGTTTCGTAATTAAGCATATTTAGTAATGATGTTGCGCACTGTACACTGACACGCCCCGGGGGGGGGGGGGGTCACTGTATATTAAAACCTTACACCATGTGCGTTCTTGCTAAAAAATAATAGGCCCCTAGGGCTGGCAGCACATTGGCAAACCATACCCCCTATTGCGGACGCAATGTACAGTTAGTACCCCCTAGAGCAGACATATTGAAGAAAAAACACCCCCTATTTCAGACACATATTGAGAACACCCTACCCCATATTGCGAGCATTCTATGCCATTTTTTGCACTGAAGTGGAGTGTGATCAATTCAAACAAGTTACTATGTATGTAACTTCTGTTGGTGTCATTCATTGTTAGATGAAGACAGATAAGAACTGTTGACATGATTGTGAATATGATCATTTATTTGATAGTTTAATAAACAATGCACACGACTTTGCCAGGATTCTTATTCCATCAGATATCATTGCGCAGTTTTATGTTCAGCTCCGAGTGACTTTGCCATGAATACAGGGCAGAGAACCCTGAAAAAAAAGCAGGAGCTGAATGCGAATGAGACCGAGCCGCGAAAGAAGTTTTCAGAAATGTGGATGACTCCGGGGAATGACTTTCTGCATGCGGCTTATTGTAATCGACGAAACGAAACAAAACGGGATAACACACATAATAAAAATTAAAATGTAATCAGTGAAAATGGGTTTTATACGGACAATATTTACAAAATATTTGCCGAAAATAATAATATTTAATACGTATATGGCTCGTTTCGCTAATTGCAGATAATCCAAAATCTGTAATCAGCCAATACACGTACAATATCAACAGCCGTCGGTTGAAACTTGACCAGTATATTCACCTTTCAGTAGTGTATATATAACAACATAAAACATATTCAAAAATCTGTAATCAGCAAAACAAGGGTCTGACACGTACAATATTCACAATTGTCTGTCAAAACCTGATCAGTATATTCATC